CCCCAAAACCCCAAAACCCCAAAACCCCAGAGATATATTTCAGATTGAAAGATTTCTAAACAGAACTAACTCTATTTTTATATTATTTATTAAGCAAAATTCATGGCTGAAGATAAGAAATGCTACTCAATGTATTGAACTACAAATCTCAAAAATGGTAAATAATCTGCCATAAATCATTATTCAAAAATAAACTTTAGCAAATCTGTAGAACCTAATACTAAACAAAGCTTATAGATAACAATTCTCTAGCGATTACGACCATAATAGTCATCTTATTGAAATATCTCAGATCAGAACTGCTTTAATAGATCCACTCTCAATTCTCCATGGTTGTACCTTCAGGAAGAGTGTCTCCTACACTCATTTGTTGAGAATTGATCACCGGCTGATATTCAACGTATGAATTGTGGTCAATTTGAGTATCGTCCATCGTTAAGGTAATTGTTACAAGATTTTGGGTACCACTATATTTTCAGTTAAGAATTGAGCTTGGAACAGAATAAAAAGGATATTTTGATAATTAAAAATCAGAGAATTGATAAAATACCTATACTTTTGGTACCCATCATTGTTCTTAATGACTTTGTAGAAATAGCTTTGTGATCCTCCATTAGGAACGTAGCCGTTCCTTTGAAGCTTAAAGTCATAGTAATATACACCGTCTGGGTTCAAAGGGATTTCATATTTATCGTTGATAGTGTATTTGACAGGATTAGTTGAGTTTAAGATGTCGTAGTTTCCCTCTATCATGAGAACATCAAGTGTAGTCCCATCAATAGAGGTGCCTCCATCGCAATCAGATGATCATTCAAATAAACCGATGAGGCCAAATGAGAAATTGCCTCCTCGCAAATTTTGTTTCAAATAGAAACTAGAATAGTGTGTCGGGTCAATGCATACATAATCAGTGATTCCTATATCTGTAAGCTCGCCTGAAATCTCTGTTGGAAACATAGCTGTTGTGCAGGGTACCATGCTCAAGGACACAGAGCTCTTTGTTTCCCCTCCATCTTCAGATTGACCAAGTAGACTAATAAAAGAAAAAGACTTTGGATCGAATAGGTGGTCTCTCCATTTGAACGCTATTCTGAACCCATTAGTGAATATGTAGTTTTCGAATGTACTTTTATAAGCAGCATCATGCGATGGGACCTTAGAGACTTTGTTGTACATCACAAAAGGAACTTCATCGTCAGTTTCAACAGTGCCAGAGACTGAAGAGCACAAGTTCTGGCTGTTTTCAGGTCAGGTCGTCACATTTTGACAGAAGTACTAAATTGTAGCATTAACTTATATCCTTAATAACCCGAGGATCATTAATGACAAAACTTACTCCACCAGTGTTTCCTCCGGTATTTCCTCCTCCACTATTTCAGCTTAGATCTCCAGTGACAGGTCCTACTTCAATACTGTTGATCTTTTGGATGAATGGAGAAGTTATCAAAATGATTCCATAGCCTATAAGCGCAAGGAAAATAAAGATCGTAGTTAGCCCACCACACAAAGTCTTGTACTTCTCTTTCCCATTCTTAGTAAAAGTAACAGGTTTGCTGAACCCATAATTGTTTTGCAGCATTTTTATTATTATAATTGCTCATATTCCTCCTAGGGGTTTTGGGGTTTTGGGGTTTTGGGGTTTTGGGG